GGGGGGGAAATTGCACGGTGGGGGGAGGGGGAGGAAGTCGCGCTGTGTGAGGGGAGGGGGGTTGGGTGGGAATTGGTGGAGCAGGTGCGCAGCGGGTAGGGAGGGGCTGCAACGAAGTTAGGGGGGGGAAGAGAGCGGGATCATGTGCGTGGAGGAGTCACGTGGGCCAGGAGCGGAAGTGGAATCGAAATCAGGGATTCGGGGTGCAGAGAGGAGGAAGTTGGTGCGCAGGGAGGAGGGGGCAGGCAAGCGGAAGGAGGGGGGGGACGCGATTGGGCAGAAGGAGGGAGGAGTTGGAGGAAGTGTGCGCGCGCACGTGCGCGCCAGGTGGGGGGAGCAAAGGTGGGCGCAGGAGGGAAGTAGGGTCAGGCGCAGGGAGGAAGGGAAGTCCAGATGCAGTTGGGGAGGGAAGGGAGGATGCGGATGGGGGCGAGGGGAGGCAGGATCGACATCCATCGGAGTTCGGGAAGTCGGGATCGGGGGTAGTCGAAGGGAAGGGAACGGAAATGGGACAGCGGAGATGACGTGGCAAGAAGTTGGGATCTGGGTAAGGAGCGAGGCAGATAGCGGGCACCCGGAGAAAATCGGGCGGAAGGGCACCATGAGAAAGTCGGGCGGAAGGGGGAAGGTGATCAGAAAGAGGAGGAGTCGAGATGCGGTTGAGGAGGGAGGGGAGGATCCGGATCGGAGCGAGGGGAGGCAGGATCGGGATCGATCGGAGTTGGGGAAGTCAAGATCAGGGGTAGTCGAAGAGAAGGAAACGGTGATGGGACAGCGGAGATGACGTGGCAGGAAGTCGGGATCTGGGTAAGGAGCAGGGCAGATAGCGAGCACCCGGAGAAAATCGGGCGGAAGCGTCACCCTCTCTTTCCCCGGTACAGCAGCCGCCCGCCACCCAACGTTCACACCTCTCGACCGTTCGCCTTCTTTTTCCCCAGCACAACGGCCGGCTGAACACAAAAAAAACGACGCAAAAACACGTTCGGACAACAAAAAAAAAAGCCCGCCGGACTCCGAAACGCTTCTATCGCGCGGCGGCACCCTTCGAGCCGTCGCACACCGGCGAAAAAAAAAACCCTCCGCTTTCACGAAATTCCTCTTGGGCCCGCGCCTTGTCCCCCTCCTCTTTCCCAACCCAGGCAGGCCGGGTTCGGGACAGCGTTACGCGAGACCCGTTGTTCCCTTTATAAAGAGTATAGATAAAAGCGGAGAAAGAAAGGATGATTAGAAGAAGAGCCAGGATGCAGCGTAGACAAGCGGACATTAGTGAGTTAGAGGAGATGGACTTGACGCACGTGACTGATGACATGAGGATCGTACGGTCCGTTCTGCTAAATGTAGTTGAGATGCAGGACCATCAGACAACCATCCTTCAGGACATTCAGCAAAGTCTGGCCCTGTTGGTTGGGCGAGCGCAGACAACATCGCCAATGTCCGGGCCTGGTGCCTGGCCCGTTGTACAGCCTCCTCCTTTTGTCCCACCGGTGATTGGGGTATCCCCATATGTAGCCCCATCATCGGTCGCGATCGTTTCCCTGGGCATGCAGATAACAACAGGATCTAGTTTGCAGGTTCCTATACAGACAGTGTTTACCCAATCTCCGTTGCATGTTGCGGTTACCACGCAGCCTGCTGTCTCGCAGTCTGTACAGCCGCAGGGCACACAGCCCCAGCAGCTAGCACAGCAACCTGTGTTACAGGGTCCACAGCCCGGAGTGGTGCAGGGACTGGGACAAACACAGTGGGTACCAAAGACGGCCATCGCTGCTCCTAAGCCCTTCACATGGGATAAGAGAGGCGAAGACCTCGACATATGGTTGAGGGCAGTGCCAGTGTATGTTAGGTGTAAACTTACCTTGCCGCACGAAGAAGTGCTTGTGGCTGCCTCCTACCTAGAGGGTAGTGCAGCAAGATGGTTGAGTGGTTTAGTTCAGCTCCAGGGGTATGGTGATGACTTCCGCGCTTGGGCAGTCACTCAGAAATTGGATGACTTCCTCAAGCTGGTGGAAGAAAGGTGGCATGATCCTCAGGAGGCCCGAAAGGCCACTGACTCGATCCTGACACTGCACACGCGGCAATTCAAGTCAGTAAGGGAAGCCACCGACGCTGTTGAGCGTCTGATCTGTGTCCTAGGGGTGCGCTATGACCCCCAGGTTCTACTCGCCTCCTACCTGAGATGCTTCTCTTTGTCTCTCAGGAACCAGTTGGCAGGTGAGGCCAACATCAACATGAACAACTTTCCTTCATTTAGCAAGAAGGCCCTAGACCTTGAGGCGAAGATAGGGCATGGACAGGCATCCACTACGGATGGTAGGAAGAAAACACTGCCTCCTAACTGGAAGGCGGAAGGGCGCATTATGTTTGTCGATAACGATGGTTCAACCATCGAATTAGACGATCACTTCCAGGAAGGAGTAGGTTCAGAGGCTGGCAGCGCAGAAGCTTCAGAGGGTGGAGTAGTCGCTGTCGTAGCTCAGAAAGGTAAGGCGACCGGTAGACGCCGCGGAGGCTCTCGGTCAAGGAGTCAAGTAGACTCCAACGCTCCCCCATGGGAGAAGGCGGGTCTCACAGAGGACGTGTGGAGAGATCGGTACACACGGCAGGCTTGCATTCGTTGTGGCCAATACGGCCATAATCAGTTTAAGTGTCGTAACAAGAAGGTGACCGACAAGATCCCGCCTACGATGGGGCAGGCGGTCGGCTCCTTTCATCCTGTTGGTAGCAATGTAGCCAGCACTTCAGGCACTGCTCCGAGAAACACGTCGGACCAGTAGGAATAGTAGCTGTTCCTACTAGGGTCGAGGTGGTGGAGACACCCTCACCGTCTCGAGAGATGGCCCAAGTTACTGACTCCAGCGTCGTCCCGCAAACACGTTCAGACCCATCAAGCCTCTGTTCGATGAATGTGTTTGTCCTTAGAGGAGCTAGAGGAGGAGTGGTCTAGATCAGACCCGCTAGCTTCTTGGACGACACTAGTCAAAGCCCCGAAGGGTGAGATGTTTGTCAGCGAGGTAGTCATTGGCGGCCGCAAGACCGGGGCCTATTATGACAATCGCTCGACAAGGAGTTTTATTAGTCGCGCGTGCGTTGAGAGGCTGCGTTTACAGGGGTGAGTGCAGCGCCTGAGTCGACCTGTGGAGTCGACCTGTGCCAACAAACAGCGCATGGTAGTCAATGACTCCCTCTAGAATGTTGAGTGTTGTTTCCCGTACGCGGGAGGGGAATTGAGACATTGCGTCTCGTTCCTAGTGAGCGATGAACTCCCTATGGATATGTTGTTAGGTATGTACTACCTCTCTGTGGCACAACCCCAGTTTGACTGGGACCGAAAAGTGGTCAAACACACTTTGCCAGGTGGAGGGACCGCCAGATTACATAAGTTCAAAGCCAGTAGTCTGATTGAGTCCTATGGGTGCATGTGTGCGGCCTCATTCTATAACTATTATAAGCAAAATCAGGAGGAGGGTATGTACCTAGTTTATGTCTCTGCTGCAGGCAAGCCGGTGAAAATGCCGCCGGAGATAGAGGGAGTAGTTGCCAAATACCCTGATCTATTTGAAGAGCCGACAGGGGTTGTAGAGAGGGAGGTCGTCCACGCGATAGAGATTATCCGAGGGTCTAGTATCCCGAAGGGTAGAATCTATCGGATGTCTCCAGGCGAGCTCGATGAGCTTCGCTGACAACTCAAGGAACTCGTAGAGAAGGGTTGGATCCGGCCGAGTGTCTCTCCTTATGGATCTCCAATACTATTCGTACCTAAGAAGAAGGAGGGTACACTTAGGATGTGCATTGATTATAGGGGCCTCAATGCCATCACTGTTAAGAACAGAGAGCCCCTACCGCGCATCGATGATCTGCTAGATAGAGTGCAAGGGTGTCGGTACTTCAGTAAGATAGATCTGAAGTCCGGGTACCATCAGATTGCAATTCGGCCCGAGGATCAACACAAAACCGCCTTTCGGACCAGGTACGGTCTGTACGAGTTTGTGGTGATGCCTTTCGGCTTTTGGAATGCTCTTGGCACCTTTCAGCACGCTATGAATCGGATATTCCATGACTACTTGGATAAGTTTGTCATCGTGTACCTCGATGACATACTTATTTTTAGTAAGACTGTCGAGGAGCACGTTGCACATTTGGACAAAGTCCTCAGTCTCCTGCGACAGCACAAGTTCAAGATCATCGGTGAGAAGTGCGAGTTTGGCCGCACCCATGTCTTGTACTTGGGTCATGAGATCTCCGCGGAAGGGTTGAAGCCCGATGACGCGAAGGTGGCCACTATACTATAGGACCTTCGTTAAGAACTATAGTATAGTGGCCGATCCTTTGACTGATCTGACGCGCCTTGACACCCCATGGGAGTGGACAGATGAGTGCGAGGCTGCTTTCAGACATCTGAAGCATGCGTTGACGCACTACGA